GGGGCTGGTCACTTTGGCACCCACTGGCGCCCCCTCCCCTGGCGGCACGGGCTGTCGGCGCCTTATCAGTAACTGCTCGGGGGGCTGTCTCACCGTCTCATGCCGTCTGCGCTGCACCCAACGTTTCCACGGCGCACGCGCTCCCATGTTTGTATCCACCCGCCTGCCCGGCGTCCTCCCCGCGGCCAAAAGTTTCCGGTAGGGAAGTTCCTATGTGACATTTTTCACCTCGCAGGCACGACACACAACAAACCCACCTCGGGGGTGTGGTGCGGCCTGCGGCCAGACAGCACACAGGCGGCCCAATCTGCACAGCACACTACCCCACCCACCGACGACCGCTCGTCTTGTTCAAGTCTCCTCAAGGCCCCAGGCGGGCTGCTTTACTCGGTACCCGGTGCGGGGCCGCGACGTGGTGGCCTGGCCTGGACGCAATAACCTGTCCTGGACGGGGTAACCGCTACCGCCTCGCCTTCCGCGAGTTCGCGACGGCACCGGCCACGCCCCGCCCGTCAGCACCCCGTCAGGCCCCAGTCGAGTGGCCAGACGGGCCAGACGACTGCGGTCCAAGCGGTGGTTCAGTGTCTAGGTCCGAGCAGGCACGCGCTCCACGCCGCCGCCGCCACGAGCTTTGGGGGTCTGCCAAGCGATGCTCGGAATTAAGGAGAGCTGTTGTGGCAGCAGATTAGGCGACGGGCGCGGCGGCCACCCCGCCCCGCCCCGCCGTCTGTTGCCTAGGGGTGATAGCGGAGGCGGCGGATGGCTCGTCACTCCCAGTGTGTGCCGTACCAATCGATCGTGTCTGCGCGCCCCGCCGCGCCTAGCCACGCGCACGGCCCGGAGAGATTACGAATCAATAATGCAGCGCAACATGTGCATGCGGCAGCCCCCTGAACTGTACCGGTCAGCCGCTGCAAATCACAAAAGTGTCGTGCGATGATTGTGTGATTGTGCAGTCTGCGATGCAGGTGTTGCTAATCGGCGTGGGGTGGGTGGGGTGGAACACCTCTGCCACGTGTCTGCGGGAAGCCCCAGCCAGCCGGTACGGAACGCCCTTGGGCGCGCGCCTCCGGACCTCCGGCAGCCTCCAGGGAAAGGGGGCCCCGGGCTGGAGCCGCGGGGGGCGGGCGGCGCGTGGCCAGGCACCCGGGCTGGCAGGGCGCCAGCTCGGGAGGCCCGCCCGGGGCAAGGTCTCTTTCACCAATTTGAGCAGATGATGATGATGTTGTTGACGATGCTGTCGTCGCCGTCGGTTGTGGTGGTGGGCCCGACCTCCTGACGACACTGGGGACACATACCGGGATTGGCGGGGAGTCGGGAAGGCGGTGGTGGCTCCGGCCGGCCGGCCGCCCAGGTGGGGAAAAAAACCCTGCTTGGGCAGGTCTACATTTGTAGCGGGACTCTCTAGTCCTTTTAATGTTGACAATAAACTATTCAATCAATCAATTCGATAAATGGTATGCTGTTGCGCACACAGGGATGCGGGCGGATTCCCTACACCCCTACAGCCCCTGGTGAGTAGGCAACCCTCCCGCACTCGTGCATAACGGGACGGTATGGCGAGGAGGGAGGTGAGCGGCGCCTGGCCAGGCAGCCGCTTGGGCTGGGCGGAATTGTTGCCGTCGCGCTGCCGCTCATTTGGCGAATCGAGCGTCAATAACATATTTCACTAGAAGGAGGAGGGCACGGGCACGGGCACGGGAAAGGGTCAGGGACGCCAGCAGGCCGACGGCCCGGTGGTCCCCGTCCCGTCTGTCCTGGTCAACAAGAGCGAGAGAAGAAATAGAGAGGGGAGAGAGAGAGAGAGAGAGAGAGAGAGAGAGAGAGATGGGGCGATTAGGGGGGGGGGGGAGTCAAGTGATCTGTTGCGATCCCCGCGCAAAGCCGCGGTACAGTCCGCGCCGCCAGCTAGAAGCGGTTCTCTGCTCGCCCCCTAACCCCCCACGGCGCGCGAGTGTAGCCGGGACCGGCCGGGACCGGCGAGAGATGCCCCTGTTTGATATTGCCCCTACGACGCGCCGCTAATGAGTACTGCTTCTCAAACACGACCCCCAAATCCAAGTCGCGAAAAGAAAATAATCAAATCTGTTGTCAGAGTGATTTTTTTTTTTTAATTGTTGTTGGTTTTTGTTTTTATTTTTGTTATTGCAACAAATTACTTTTTGTCAACAACAATTCGACAGCAAAATTCTGTCTATGGTAACGACATTTTACCGGTCGCAGCAGATACCTTTTCTTTCCGTGCGCGACAAACCAGACGACGCATTAGCAGCACTGCTTAGGCGGGGGTTGGGGGTTGGGCCACTTGTAGGCCCAACGAACACAATACAACACGGGCCGCTCTAGCGCGCGCTGGCGGGCCACGTGTTCACCGCGTGCCGAGGCGGTGGTCGCCGCGGCTCCTCCTAAATATATTCCCGGCGGTGCCGGACGAGACGGCGGGAGTCGTTTGGAGTCGGGCGGCGACGGCGGTGCTGCGCGCGTCACCCGCGGGGCGTACGGCCAGGAGCGCGGGGCGCGAGCGCAGCCACGCGGCATTCTTTACGCTAAAATACTAATTTTAGAGGGGGCATCGTTTCTCTCTCACTTTCTCTCTCTCTCTCTCTCTCTCTCTCTCTCTCTCTCTCTCTCTCTCTCT